CCCGCCGCAGGCCCTCCATCAGCCGCGGCAGGCACTACTGCCACACGCTGCGCCTCTGGTGCCACAGCCGCAACTGCGGTAGTCGCTGGCGCTGCCACTCGGGCCGCAGCAATGTCAGCGGGCCGGGGCGTGGCCGCCCCATCTGCGGCAGCCACCCCCGAGGCAGCCGCGTCAGGTGACTTCCGAGTCAGGGGCACGACGCGCGGGGCCGTTTGCGCCTTGGGCTGCGCGTACTGCACCGGCGCGCCTGGCCGCCTGCCACGCTGCCGCACCTGCCGATGCGGCCCCCGGCCGGTGTGATTGCTGCTGCTGTCTGCTGCCGAACCTTTGCTGGCGCCGCCATCTTCGGCCCCGGCAGGGGGGCTCGCTGGCACGCCCGCCGCCCTGGCCCCAATGACGAGCCGCAGGGCCGCGCCAGCCGTGCCCGCCGCAGCATGCACGCCCCCGCGCGCGGAGCAAGCGCACGCGAGCACAAAGGTTGCGCAGCGTGCGGCGGCGCCGCGCAGCAGCCGCCTTGGCGCGCGCAGCCCGGGGGCTGTGGCGGCGACCCCCGCGGCCAGCAGGATGGTCAAGGCCTGCATGATGCAGTTGCACCGGACGGCGAGATTGTGCGGCCACAAAAAGATGCTCAACACTTTCAGGGCTGTTGCCGGACAAACACGTTGGGCGGGTTGTAGCGGGCAAGCTGCTGGGGCAGGACTAGTATGAGGGCCCAGTACAAGGCGTTTGCCACGCGGGAAAACCAGCCGCATTCAGGGGGTATGTCGGGGTCATCAAACAGGGCCCAGCCTGCCTTCAGGGCGCCCAGGAGGATGCGCACTACTAGAGCCAGGACACCCCACGCAGCTGTGACCGGCCGCTCGAGCGCCGCCGTGGCCCCAGCGACGGCTGTCGAGCGCGGCCGCGCGCCAGCGGCACCGCCCTCCTGCGGCCCCAGCACCGCTGCTGCCGCACGCTGCGCCTCTGCGGCCCTCTCCGCGGCGCTCGGCTTCCGCTTGCCGCCGCCGCCGGCCTTGCCGCCTTTATTGTTGGTGCCCTTGCCCCAGGTGATGCGGAACCTCATCCTCTTGCTGAATGCCGCGCTGACGTCCGGGTCCTCAGCATCTGGGCAGACCGAGCTGTCGCGGTAGTCAACACTCTGGTTGACCGCCGCGAGGGCCGCCAGCCGCACGCCGTCCCACCGCGCCGCCTGATCCCCTGGGTTTGGCGATAACTCCACCAGCAGCTGCCAGGTAGCTGCCGCCCACAGGTAGTGGAGGTCGCAGTAGTAGGTGGACGCCCAGATCTTGAGGCCATCGGCGGGGGGCGGCGGCCTAACCTCGGACTGGCCAAAGTTGCCATCGTCGTCGACGTCATCGTAGCGTTCATAGGGGTCATCAGCCGGGGGTGGGTCGATCGTGATGACGAGCCGGCCGGGGCCGGGCGCGGTCCCGAAGGCGGGGCGGTCGTCCAGGGCAACGCCCGGGGCCGTCGAGACGGTGGGGCCGTACGACTCATCAAACTGCTCAGAGTCGGTTGTGACGTCACAGTTTGAGGGTGGTGCGGGGGCCCGCGTGGCGGGGTGGGTCGGCGATGAAAATGAGAGAGGGGGTGACTGAAAGGCTTACTTTGACCGGTGCCAGCAAGGATATCGGCGGGAGGCTGCAGCAAAGCAAAGCGCTGCCACGTGCTGCTCCTGCCTCCAGCCAGATGCACAC